GGCAGTTTAAACATATTTCTGGTCTCAATTTGGTCAAATATTTTTGCGAATGCCGTATAAAATGTTTCCGAGCAAGTTAAAGTTTTTAGCTGCGTGTGCCCGCTGTCGACAGAACATTTTCAAAAGCATGTTATATCGCAATACGATCAGGAAAATAAATAATTTTAATCATTTTACCTTCTGTATTGTCTTGTGGACTAGAAAAGCATCTATTGCATCAGAACTAAAGCTTTTTATTGCACGGTTTTAATAGTTTGTCAGCCATGTTTGCTAGTTCGCAAAACTGGAATTTTTAGGAATTTGAATAAATTAAAACATCGAGCAAAAAATACCTCGGCTCGAGCCGATGAATAACATATACATTTTCTAACATAGATATATTCTGTTGAATAAAAGCTGTCAATACTACAGTGAAGCTTGTTGTAATTCTGAACATGTAATCAACTTTACTGTATTAAATACCTTCGCTTTCTTCTGTTTTAAAACTGACGCCATTTTCCCAATTTACGTACAATAAAGTCAAAGAGTACAGTAAGCAACTTCTCTCTTTCGAAACATTCTGTTCAAAACAGATCAAACAAACCATGCTTAATTTGGCTTTACCAACAAAACACTTTAATAGTTTCAACAACTTGTTTGGAGGAATTAAGAATTGAAAGAATGCAATTTTGTTGTCTTTGTTTTAGAACAAATCGCACTGGGAATATTCAAATCATTATCCAGTTACAACTAATTACAAAGTAATAGTCTGGCTTTTGCAAACGTCAGAAATATGTCAAAACAATGTCAATGAGTGCCATGAGGATTGGAGAACAGTGGGATTTTCAAAACAATGAAAAATACAATGGAACATTTCTTTCACTGGATCGTGATCAAATGCACAACACTACAGTATATTGTGAGTTTCAGTGAACGGGCAGTAGACAATGGCCAACTGATTGAACTGAAGAAAGGTTGACCATACTCCATAGTCTCACAGGGTACGATGGTCTGGAGGCCCGGCAGGCGGCCTCAAAGCCATAAAATAGAAGACCTTTGTTTGATGTTGAACTGTAGCTCACCATGCATAAATCCTTTGTCTCAACTTCATTAAATATTCTTCATCGTGGTTGCACGTTTCATCTCAGCTATCCCTAATGGACGATTGCTTCATTATACGAAAATACAATAGAGAGTTTAAGCTTCGCGTTATACGTCAAACGGCAAACGCCAGGCAAAGAAAAATTTTACGGTATCAGGCAATAAAGAGTAAATAAACTTGCTGTTTTAAAACTGAAATACATAATTATTCTTTCGACGCAAGAAAGAAAATATGAAACGAAAACGTTCAACGAAAATTTTGCCAAGAAAGTTCGAACCTGCCGTTTGGCCCGTTTGCCGTTCCCGGAATTCGGAAACGTGAAGCTTAAACTCCCTAATGAGCTCAATCACCGTGACTGTGCAGAAATTAACATAAACTCCGACAAAATATAACACAATGACTTCTGTTTAGTTTCCAGGCAGATGGTGATGTTTATTAAGGAAGGAACATAGTCATAAATAATTTTATAAATTTGCCTCGAAATACAGGACTATCACAAATAATGCAAATTTTTTACCCAGGGTTCTCTAGAGAACCCCAGTAGAGAACCCCAGGGTTCTCTAGAGAACGCCAGTAGAGAACCCCAGGGTTCTCTAGAGAACGCCAGTAGAGACCCCAGGGTTCTCTAAAGAACCCTGGGTACGAGGTAGCTGCTTTTCCGCTATCTGCTGTACGATAGTGGAATTTAATCTTTAATATGATTTTTCCATATTTCTGAAGATGACTTTGCATAGTATCTCAAAAATACCACCTTACTTCAAAATACCTGCAATACCATTCATAGATGAAACGCTTGCAATATTAAAGATTCTTTCAAGATACGTCAGTTTGTTTTCATTTCGCATGCAATGTTGTTATTTCCCACACAAAATAGATGTTTTTATTCCAAACAGAAAAACACTTTTTGCAGACATTTAAATCTTTTAAACACACAAACATGCACTCTCAGTAGGATTAATCATTAAAGTTTAATCTATGTCGTATTAACCTCGGTATTAACTGTGAAATTCTACTCAAAAAAGGTTAACCTTCAGGGCATGAACTGAAGGACAACCTGTTTGAAATTGTGGTAACTATGAAAAGCACATGAAATATCACTTCAGGTTCACATATATAGGGTGGTTTTGAACAACTTTAACTTTTTACTTCAGCTGAAGTGGAAGGCAAGTTCTAACACAAGCGCATGGTATTCAAAAATACTCGATTAACGTCATCAACTGACATCACCAATTGAGAATATTCGTCATTCATATCCTCTGAGTCAGACAAGAATGATTTATGACGCGTTCAGAACACTCCTCTTCCAACTAGACGGAAGTTTTTAAATAATGAAGCAATTTCATTGTTCTGACCACGAAGACAATTGAGCTAATACAAATCACTGTTGTGAAAAGCTGTGGAAATCAAGCTGATCTATCCAGAAAAGTGAAAATATGAACGTTGGATTGCGAGTTGAAGCTTACTTCAGAAAGCTTAGCAACTGATGTTGTGTCTGATTTGGTAGTACTTTGCTTGGCACAAGTTGCCAAGAGGTGATTGCTATCTGTCATTTTCAAATCTCTCTAAGACGGACATGCCCAAGACATATGCATGGCTTCCTTATTAATTTCATATCTAAGCTACTTGGCTTATGTCCCAAGTTACTTACAAGTTACAGTTTATAAGGAATGATTAAACATGCTCTTTGTAACAACAATAATAATAATTATAAAAATAATTATAATGGAAAGAATAATTATAAAAATAGAACTGAATCCTTAAAGAAAAGCTTTACTTATAGAGGGACCCGTCGAATTCGCTAGAGCTCAATCTCTCGCAGAGTTTAAATCTAAAATGTCTTAATAATTGTATTATATTAATTTAGTTTATTGTACGATCATCCAGATTAAATTTTTAAAATTATTTCTGACGTTTCGGCTACCTACACGGCAGCCATTATCAAAGACGTATTATCAATAAACTAAATTAATGGAAAAACCCGGATTCAAGCCCTTCAGTGTATTATATTAGTTGCAAAGGCATATGTAGTCTGCAACTCTTGTAAATATTTTGATATTTATTTATTAGAAATTAGGTACACGTCTCCATACACATATTTTAACTTGTGAAATGGATCTCGTGTTTTAGTATAAATAAAGATGTCAATCAAAAATGAATCAATTAAAGGACATTGTTAATTCAAAACGTCGGCCTTTGTTTGAACACAAACACGACACATTGTTAATTATTGAACTTTATCATTTCTTGTAAATAACTTCCTCCTACACCCTAAAAACAGCCAATGGCTAAAAATTCCCTCGGGTTAATTTAAAATGAACACTGTTTGGGGTAACCTAATGTTGTTGGTTACATTTCCTATCAACTTAACCACATGACCAGTCATGGTTAATTAAACCAGGCTACATGGTTGAATTAACCAGATTACGTTAGGACGTGATCAGATTAACCAGGATTGTGGTTAAAAAAGGAAATATTTAACGAGGAAAATGAAGTTACCCCAAAGGCCCAAACAGGGTTAGTTTTAGATTAATCAGGAAATTTTCAACTAGGCTGTTTTTAGAGTGTATTTGTAAATGACTTTCCTTCTGTTCTACTTGCATTTTAGGACGCTCTTCCTAAAATCAACTGCCTGTTGACGAAACCAGAGATTAAAGAAATTAATTTGTATATACATGCATACATACGGGTTAGGATTATAGTAGAGTTGGGGTTAGAATTCGAGTTTTTGTGTATCCAGCGAATGATTAGTGACCCAAAATGCCCTCTTTGTGACGTCATAATACTGAGGCAGTTTGTATGAGCGTGATTTTCCACTGGACAAAACAATGAAATTTTCGACTGAACTTTCTACCATACAAGTCTTTACATGTGTTTCCAGTTAAAGTTTCGAGATTTAATTCGCTATGGGAAGCACTGCAGCATATGTTTTAAACGTTTGTAAATTCCAACGAGTCAAGGCACAGACCACCTAGCTGTCTTGTGGAATATTTTTAATTAGAGCAATTATGAAGAACATATCAATGGTAGTACAGCTCGCAGTACAGCGCACTAAAATGCAGATAATCTCGCAGAAAATCATCAGAATTTTTACTGTCTGAAAATGTACGCACAATACTTCCCCTTGAGTGGGAATTACTTTCAAATGTTCTGCAGTCGTTATTGTACAATTATTCTGTATTTCTATTTTTGAAACCGATAACGTGTTGAAATGAGATTAAGTTGATTTGATGCAATTCAGTCACACGAACATGATTAAAGATTGTCGAGGTCAGCGCTCAGATAAAAAATTTTAATTCTAAAAACTGATTTGAAATGAATATCGCATGACGCAACCTGTATGAGGTAACGACGACTGTGTGACAAGTAAAACCGTCTGGTGTTAGACAGGGTTGAATATTTTTAGAAACTCAATATACGCAAGTTTCAGTGAGTGTTACAGGAGTGCAGATGGTGAACTTTGGAAAGGTTGACCAACTTATATAGGCTACGAGCAATATACTATCACATACAATGAAAAGAATCAACATTATTTTCTCACTTTCATAACTGCTTGAGCGCCTTCTGCTGCGTGCAGGTGAAACCACCAATGCTTGCCAGAAACTCTCACAGGTAATGCATGAGTAACCATGGTTGACACTATCAAAGTTTCAAATGAGTAAATTCTAAGTTTTGAAGGATTTGTAAGAAATGCTTGAGAAAACGGACTCATTGTGTAACACCGAGTCAGCTCCTCCCTGAATCATTTCTTTACTAATCCTTCAAAATTTAGAATTTTATACCAATACAAAATTCCTACATGATCACAGAAACTTTGATAGTGTAGCCTTAAAATATTGTCTAATCTTGAAACAGCGGAATGCAGCAGCTAAACCCACCCAGGAAGCGATCAATCTCCCCACGTCAGGCCAATTACTACACAGGTAAACTGCAGGGTGCGTTTCCTATAAGCAGACCAAACACGAAGAGAATTGTCTAGAATGACTTCCCAATTCGAGGTCAGTCCATTACACTTGATTAAACTTTATCTGAAATATAATGTTTGATGTGCGCCTTTGATAATGCAATGCAATATATCACAAACTCCAGGTGTACTGTGTGTTGATAAACGAAAAGCGAGTTTTTAAAAACACTTCGAGATGTTTCAAAATCACTATAGAAACGACTATAAGTGCGCGACATAACCTCTCAAAGAAACCAGTATTGAAAGATCAACATGAACATTGACTTCATTTGTGGACGTTTACTAGTTCAAGTATTCAACACAACGATGTTGAACCTGAAAAGGTCTTTTGAGGTAAAAAGTTGGCATGCAAGATCATGGTCTGTTCCTTGTCAACAGCGTCACGCAGTTAGCGCTGCGACAACCTTTATACTAATTTACATATTCCGCGCACTTTCACATGTCATTGAATATTTCCAGACTAAAATATCCCAAACGTCCAATGTCTCGATTTCATATCTAATGTACAAATTTTCAAGCTCGCCAACAATTCATAACATTAGGGCTCAGCGTGAGCATCGTCTCGTTGTCTTGGAAATAAATCAACTTTCGCTTCCAACTTCTCTTCAAAAATACATCTATATCTGGAAATTTTGAAACGCTTCAAAATCTGTATAAAACTCGAGACTAGTTTTCAACGGATTTTTCAATGTTTCTAATCACTGTAATACACGCCTTGTGTTAGAAATTGTTCCGCAAGATAAAATCACCGGATGATTGCAAAATATCGAGGTTTATTGTGTAATGAGCTGGTGATGATTGAAGAACGCGCAAGTGACATCGCCTCCGCCGACGATGAAATGTCTGAAACAAAATGAGACAGAATGCACCGGAAATAATTAAAATGAGCAAAAGGAATCTTCATTTTCGATATTTCTTAATTAAACCACAGTTATTAAACACGTGAAACGATGTTGACAAGATGCGCTCGTGACTATGTACAAATGTAAAGCAAACAACAAATTGTAACAATGTCGCCAGATTAGAACCGTTTGTCACTAACAAACATCGTAATCCTGCAGCAAGCTAGTCAACCAGTTAATAACAAAACTTGTCAACTTGTCACAAATTGTTGAAAAGCAGAACGACAAGAAGTTCTCAGAACTTGTTACAAGTCTGATCAAACCATTAACACAACTGTAACAACTACATTTATTCAATACTATAAATCTACGCGAATTTATTGTTTTCGGTGCTTCGTCTTGCTAGTATACAGCACAATTAAGTACTTTTGTGGTCAAAACTTAAGCATGTAGACGAGTATTGATAAGATTATTCAGTACTGTAGTATATTCAAAAGGTAAAGTGTTATTAGTAAGTTAGTAAATCGGATGTGCATAACTTTATGCATATTCTTCTCTATATGTCAACAATAATTTATATTTTTCCAAACATTTCCCAGAATCATTTTCCAATCATATTGTCCATTTTGTGCGTGATCATCACGTTGCCTTGGTCACATGTTCTTATTCCTTCAATCAATTCTTGAATATTGGTTTGGGTTAGTGTATGTTTCAGTAAGTACTTTATATCGTGCTACACATGATGTTCAAAGTCAAGCGAGCAAATGATGCAAAATGTTCCATTACATGTGCTTGCCATCACACACGAGATGAATACATAGAGTGAACAATGTCTCGCTCAATATAACTAACAGTTGAAGGTTTTTGTAGATGGAAATTTCTAGTGGAAAAACATTTTGCAGACTCACCCAGGAGCAGTTGTGAAAAATGCAACTATAAGCTCTCTGGTAGGAATGGAATCTGCACCCCTGTCATTCTTGCCAGAGGGTCTATAAAGAGTCGCACTAGATTTTTCGCAACTGCTCTTGCTGAGGTCTGAAAATAGACAATTCCCATTAATATAGACTAATTTTAAAACTAGGCAAGGAGATGCTAATAAATCACCACAGCTAGAAAGAACATACTAAAATGAGTAAAATTGCAAAGTTTGGTTGCGAAATGTTGTAAAATGAGGAAAATATTGCCTTGCAAAGTTTGCATATTTTTTCAACATTTGGGCCGAAAATGGTAGGAATTTCCGCACACAATACAAAACTTTGCAAGGCTATATTTTCCGCATTTTACAACATTTCGCAACCAAACTTTGTAATTTTACTCATTTTAGTATGCTCTTTCTAGCTGTGGTGATTTATTTCCATCTCCTTGCCTAGTTTTAAAATTAGTCCATAATGGGAATTGTCTAATGAATATAATCTTCTGCTTGAAATTTTCAACAACAAAAACCCCCTTGAACAATTTACTGACTTCCATAACTGTCTTTCCTCTGACAGTGGACCGCCATGTTCAGTTTACATTTTATTAATGAAAAGTTATTAATAAAAATATTGACATTAGAATTAAATTTGAAATTAGCATAATTAGAAATTAGATTGGAATAATTCACTCGTACGGATCAACAAGCAAAGTATTTTGTAATTCAACTGTATCGCGCTGATGTTCATCGATTTCAATATAATAAACAGAACATTACATGACCGATAGGAGATACGAACTTTACCTTTTTGTGTTGCCAATATCTTGGACTCGTTAGTTTCGCTCACTCGTGAGATATATTGTAACAATCGAAGATATAATTCGCATCTTCGCACAGTCATGTAACATCCTCTATATATTTAATAAATACACACTTGCTGTTTTTGCTAGACCTTTTAGATTCTGTGGTTAGCAATTTGTGTTTTAGACAGACATAAAACACTCTGTTATAGCTTCGTGTTTTATTATACATCTCGTGTGAAACATTGCTGCTTATTTTTTGAGTAGTTAATAACATTGCAGGTGTACGTTGTGTACTTTCATCAGATTTTGTTATTTATAAATTTATATATTTATAAACCATTGCTACGCAGTCGTGGTAATTTGAACATTTTATCAAACAACTCTACAATTTTATGTTAATTCTTCATTATTCTCGTATTATTTCCTTTAAGCCTGTTTTCCACTTCGCCCGTATCGTACCGTAACGTATCGGTGAGCATGCGCAGATTGAAAAGAGGTTTATAAATCCACGTACTTCCGGGTGTATTCCAGTGGTGTATTCGCGCATCAAAATAGAAAGTTCGTCGCAAGTCAACTGTTTGGCGTACTACGGAAGTACTAACCAATCAACATTCACGAAATTTTGAAATCTAAAAACGTTTTCGCTACGTTACCAGTACGGTACGGGCGAAGTGGAAAACAGGCTATAATTGCGTACTTACGTACCGGAAGTACGCCAATATTACGGTCTGGTACTCCTTTGTTTTCAGCCATGCAAGTACCACGTAAGTACACGAAACTCTTGCTATCTACGTACTTACATTTTGCTGGTACCACATAACCTTTCCAAACCCAAAGCATTCAAAACCGCAATTTAAGTTTGTATGTGCAACTCTGATATATCTTGGCATGAAACAGGATTGCACCATATGTAGCAACGAGAATACAAGATCTAGAGTTTAAGAAATGAAAAATACATAAACAACCGAGTGTTCAACGTTCTTCATCGTTGATACGAATATGAAATTCGTTATTTCTTTCCAAATTTCAATTTGTTGATGATCGTAAATTGCGTCAAGTCTGCAGCAGACCTGCTGCAACTTGCGCGTTTCTGGCTGTGTACGCTGGCAGCGACCGTTGGAGTTTATATGTTAATCTTATATTAATTTGCGTTCCTTCAGTTGCTTAAATAACTCTTCTGTTGCTGCGTAAATTGCCTGATCAGCAGTTTCAAAATGATTCTTCACAGAGAGGCCAGGTGCAGCATCTTTCGCTGTTCCATCGTAAACCCAAGATTCATTCCATGAGTGAACTCGTCCTCGTGCGACCATTATGTAGTTCCTAAATACATTAAATAAGAGGATCTACCTTAGCTCAATAAGAAACAAAGTAGGGAAAAAATGGGAAAAGGGAGACAAGAAAAGTTGGATGATAGGAAATAAGAATGGAAGGGTAGAATGGGAAAATGAAGAAGATAGTGGTAAGAAGGATGAAAATGAAAAGGGCAAATGACAGTCATTTGAATATAAAGGTGAACGTGTTTATTTTAGGGGATGTAGTTGCACCAGCAATACTTTTAAGAAACTGGTCGATGGAAACGTGTGGAGTCGGTATAACAGAATAACTACCTTATGCGTTGTAGTGACGCCAGTCTTTTAGCACAACAGAATATTGAAACATATTATATACAACAGATGCCGCCATTGCGCTGGCAAATGGCTGCCAAAGTTTTGTTTTCTCTTTACTTCCGTCAGCAAAATCCGACACTGCTTTAATTACAGCCCATTCTACGCCAAGATCATACGCAACAGCGTATAGACCTAAAATTTAAGCACAAAAATGTAGACGTGCATGTATTCATGTCATAGGCATAACGCTAACCGATTTTGCAGTAATAGCGCATCAAGCCCAATCATGTTTTGGGTTAAAAATCTCAGTTAATTTCTGTTCAGTATTAAAGACACTAGAAATCCCCCATTAAGGAAATGACAATATATTTTTTCTTTTCTCATTTGAAAAAACTTTTAGGGCTATATATAATACTCTTTTATCGTTTTTTCCATATCTTGCTTACTTCTACAAATATTTTGATCGAAAAGAATGAATTGTCAGCCATCTTCAATTTTTGTGGATATGCATGTCACGTCACAACAGGGGTCACGCGATATTTTTATCTAGACAACCACTAATCATTTTGCACTCAGAACTATACTCTGTCTGCCCTTCGAAATATCAAGATCACTCAAAACCTTTAAAACATCTACCAATCAATATTTGGTTAACAACGAATACTTTTATGTGGTTGATCCCTGTTGTGACAGGAAGAGATTATTTCGCTGGCCTCCGTGTGACAAAACGTAACAAAGCAACGGTTTTACTAACACTAACACTAACACTAACACTAACACTATTCCAAACACCCACTCTAACCCAAATCCTCGAGTACAAACGTGGAGTAGGGTTAGGTCAAGGTCCTTGACCTACCCTAACCCTAACCCTAACCTAACCTTATTCCAAATTTGTTTCTAAAGCAATCTTGAAGAAAAATTTTGACGAAATGTCATTCTGAGTTCAGCGAAATAACTTCTTCCCTTGTGACGTCACCAAAACAACGTTAATGAGGTCAAAAATTTATCCAAGATGGTGGACATCTCATTACTTCAAGTGAAATTATTTCAAGAACTAAGCAAGATATGAACAATCGGTAAAAGAAGTTAATATATAGTTACAAAAATTCTTTCAAAAGATAAAATAAAAATTTTATATTGACATTTTCCTTTAAGTTCCCTCCCCCTCTGGAATTTGTTTTAACAGGTTGACAGATTGATACACCATTCGAAGCCTAATTGGTGTGGAAGGCTTGAATGATGCGGGAAGTTCCTACCTGCACCCTCAGTTTCAAGACCAAGTGCGTCCGGGAACGAATTCAGTAACTGTTGTCGTCTTTCATGATTATTAACTAAATCCGAGCCACTTAACATCACAGCGTCATGGTGAACTTCAACATCTAAACTTGTCGGGTCTTCTAACGGTGGTTTCCAACCATGAGCTGCATTGAGGATAAGACGAGCCATATGTTTACTAACGTTCGGTTTAGTCCCGCGATACTCAACTGTACCATCTGCCTTGAATTTCTTACGATCATAAGTCGCCAGTTTGGCAGAAATCACGACATCGCCAAGTTTTGCCTTCGCCCGTTCCATGCTTGCACAGATCCCGACAAAGAGGACTACTTTTGGCTGTAAAATTTCAGCGGCCTTTCCTACTGCTATCACAGCCTCAGTCGGTCCCTGCCAAGATTTCATCAATGCAACTCTCACCGCATTCGCGTTATTCTGATCACCAAATCGACCAAAATCGACCATTCCCAGTTTCGTAGAATAACCTCGTGTAACACGTTTCATATATGAATAGCAAGCATTGAATTCATGATCATTCGCTGTTATTAGCAGAATATCTGTTGGTAGTTGTGACTGAATCTCATTGCTTGAACAGTCATATGGTTCACTATCAAAATCACTCGCTGTCGGGAGTGTGATATTGAGTTCTGGTGGTGGTGCTATATGATCATTGCCTTCACAAAACATGATGATACAAATTACAAAGGAAACTCGTTCTACAAAGTTTTAATACAATTGACAACGATGATTCATCGTTGTATTCTTGGATTGTATGTGACGTCACGTGGGGCGTCAATAAATTTGTTTAAAGATACACACGTAAAAATCTCACATCTTGTGACAAGTCTGCCAACAAGCCGTCAACAAGTTTGGAACAACTTGTTGACAACTTGTAACAACCTTGTCGAAATTATCAGACTTGTTGCAAGGTTGTTCTGACAAGTCCGTTACATGCTTGATATAACAAGATTGTTACAACCTTGTGTTGACAACCTTGTAACATCCTTGTTGTATCATGGCTGTAACAAACTTGTTAGCATAGTCTTGCAACAAGGCTGATAATGCCATCAAGCTTGTTACAAGTTGTTAACAGCTTGTTCCAAACTTGTTACAACAAGTGGGAACAAGCAGTGCGAACACAACTTGTTGACAGCTTGTGAACAGATTTGTAACAACTTGTTTGCAGGCTTGTTACAAGCTGTGCGTTTTTAGTTAGTTAGTTAGGAACTTTATCAAAGTGTCATTTACATCTAGCCGGTTACAGATAACCTACTAATTGGGGACACTAAACCTACTAATTGGGGACACATAGAAATAATAGATAATCTATTATTTCTATGGTTTTTACGCGTGTATATACAGGATTATTATTATAAAGAAATCATCGTTTATTATTAAACCTTTCCAAAAAACCTTTGCATTCTCGTACACAGAGTCCTTGTTTTGAATCCGATTTTTTCTATTTCGAGTCCGGGTTTTCAAAAGTCAAGTCCGGGTTTTTTTAAACACGAGTCCGGATTTTTTTCGAGTTGGGGTCCGGGTTTTTCTCGAGTCCGGATTTTCTTAGAGTCCGAGTTTCAAAGTATGCCCTGTGTCAGGGATAAAGGACGGCTTTTATATTGTTTTATATTGGCTTTTTGGCACACCTATTCTTGCAGGTTTTGACCATTAATTACGTTTTGACCAAGTTATGTATGGTCGACAATGCGGACAATCTCGATTTTTGGATGTCGGATGTCTCATGACTCAAACTCGCGAACATCTCAATTCGGTACTCTCCAAATCGGTCCTACTTAATACTGCCCGCAGCGCCCTGGGACGCCTGGAAGCGCTCGGGAGTGCGTGAGAACGCCCGGAGATATACAAGATACTATAATACTACTTTTCATTAATATAATGCCTCATAGAGACTCAAAAAGGATCGTGCACTGATTTATGCTATCTTGTAAATGCCCGGGCATTCTCACGCGCTTCCGGGCGCTTCCAGGTGTCCCCGGGCGCTCCGGGCAGTATTTAGTAGGACCCGATGTGGCATGCTTTATATTGGAGAAACTGGAAGACATTTGATTAACGAATGTTTTTCCAACGTTTAACTCTATCTGTCTTTGCCTGTCTAAAGCAGACATTGATTGTACTTTTAATTCTTACCTTATTCCCCAATTGTTTCGCATATTTTGTTGCATTTGCTGTGTTTTCTGCGGTATAATTTATTAATATATTCTGTAATGTGATTTACTTTTTTTGTTTATACTGTGTTTTGACTAAATCCATCTGATTGGTTTATTTTTTGTCACGTGATCGCTTTTATATTCCTAGTATAAAAGCTCATGTAATTTTCCCGACCCCCGCTAGTAACTGCAGATGTAGGGCAAGACAGTTCAAGATTATATTTGAAAAATACGCTGTCAACGTCATCTGACGACATCGTCAGCTGACAACATTCGTCATTAACATTCGGCAAAACCTGAAATCGTCCCGATTAATCGTTGTGTGTAAACGCATAGGCAGTCCAAAAATGTATGGTACTTGTCTCTTTTATGCAGTCTCATAGCATGGAAAGGTTTTGAAAGCTCGCGCGTGAAAATCTTTCACGCTCGCGCGTGGCGCTCGGGCGTGCATTTGTTTTCCACGTTCAAAACTAAAGCTTAGGTACTACCAGCTTTTATGAATTATATTCAATAAAAATGCTGAAAAAAATTCTGATGAAAACACACACGGTACTTACAAAGTGTACACAGAAATATATGGTCTTCTAAAATCGGAAACGTAAATTGCAAACTAATATATAGTCAACCTATAACCGTAACCAAACAATTACCTGAGCTTGAAGCTTCACTTGGTCTTGAGGTTTCATATTCCCTTCGAAAGTTCGAGCTGTCTTCTATTATAGCTTCATCAGGCACTTGAAAATCGGATGAAACAATTAAACATAGGGAATATAAGGCTGCGCGAATAAAGATATGGAAGACTTTACGAATGAGCGTACCCAATGAGTAAAATATTGCTTTCACCACGAGCATGCCCTTTTAGAGAGCCTAGATTACAACAATTTCTGTGGGTGCATGCCCCTGGAACTCCTCTAGAGGTTTGTCACGCCTATAGCCGCCTCTCATTTGCCAACACGAAAATATTTCTTTCCTGCAAGCATGTGGTTATGAAACTATGCTGTTATAGATAGTCGTAACTGCAGGTGCTGTCAAGGCCGCCCAGAGGGGTGGAGGGGGTAATTTGGCCTGGAGCCCCAGTTAAAGGGTGGGGGGGGGAGAGAATAAAAAATTACAGTAAAATATAAATACAGATATAACTGTCAACAGACTTCCAGAATGCAGGATTCGACCATCTCGGGGACCTCAGATTTCAAATAACTCCAGGACAATGTCTCCGGACCCTCCTAATCATAGCGTTAGAAGATGGAATCACCAGGGGGCCAAAGTCAAATTTTGTCCTCTGCACCCAAATTTCCCTGGGTACTGTGCAGTGAATGTTGGTTTTGGCATTTTTGAATATCAATTGTAGCCTGTTTTGTGGTTACACATTATAACGGTGTGAAATTTCAGGGCGTGCTTCTGCTCGGCTAAACTTGCACAAAAATGTGCAGGTATAAAAAAATTAATAAATTAGGTATGATATAAGGGACCGCTCATTATTTATTGTACAGGGGGGTTGAGGAGAAACCGGGGGAGGGGTTTCAAATTTTTTAAAACCTGAAAAGGGGGGCTTTGAAAAAATACAGAGAGACGAAAGAAGGGGGGCTTTGAAAAGATTTACCAGTTTAAAAAAAACATTAGTAGTAAGTTTTAAAAATGTATCACAAAACAACTTAACAAATAACAATGTTTATAGACTTTAATATTCATAAACGAAAGCCAAATAAAAAGTCTCTTATGTTCATGTAAATAGACAATTCCCATTATAGACTAATTTAGAGGTGCATGACCTTTCAGGAGAGGTTCAAAAATTCTCAGGGGAGGTGCAAAACGATCTCAGGGGAGGTGCAAAACGATCTCAGGGGAGGTGCGCACCTCTCCACACCTCCCCTCAAAATCCGGCCTTGATGCAAATAAATCACCATTGCTAGAAAGAGCATACTAAAATAAGTCAATTATTGCAAAGTTTGGTTGCGAACTGTTGTAAAATATAACCTTGCAAAGATTGCAAATTTTGTATACTTTTGTATTGCATGCGAAAATTGCAATACAAAAGTATACAAAATTTGCAAACTTTGGAAGGCTATATTTTTTTGCATTTTACAACATTTCTCAACCAAACTTAGAAATTTTACTAATTTTAGAATGCCCTTCCTGGGAATATACTTTTTTTGCTAAGATAAAAAATAGTCTATAATGGTGAATTGTCTATTGGTCCCCATTATCTATTTTTGTTTCTCTAAATAAAGAACTAGAGTTTTTGTTTCTCTAAATAAAGATAAAGAGCTAGACGGGGGGGGGCAAAACTTATGTTCTTGTTTTGCTTGTTGGGGGGGGGGCTTTGAAAATTTTACTTGTCTTAAGAGGGGGGCAACGAAAAAATATTATAACTGTAGAGTTTCTCCTCAGTCTCCCCCTGTACAATAAATAATGAGCAGTCCCTAAAACCATGTATCAGTTAATAAAACAAGCAGAAAACAAAACAACACTCATTGTCAAGATTGAAGACACTAGACTGGAGTATGGAAATGTTGGGTCGTGAATGCAGTTCGACTGGCCGGACTGGGCTTTGCATTCATTTATCAAAACCAGAGTAGCGAGCGAAAATATGACTGATATTATACCTGGTTGCCGTGAACTCACAAACTTTAAATATTAAATTTATTAAATTCTTTGTCAATGGTGCTCACAAAATCAATTTGGAAAAACAGCCTAAATCGAATACAATTGCCAATTGGTCAACCCCGAGAACTAGGTTCGTTTCTCCTGGTTAAACAAAGTGTGCAATTACAATCTACAATTACAAAACAACGCAATTAATGCTCAAATTCCATTCAATCGCAATGGGCGATAATTTCAATCGCACTGAAATTATATCAACTAATCAGATTCCAGCAACTGAGCCTGATTAACAAAGGAGATATCACCATAATACTAAAATAAATTATACAACTTATATTTAATAATTAGACAACTTATCTAATTGTTAAATATGATGTAAGAATTGTCAACTAACAATTTGAAAACCGGCAAAGTAAAAACACCTTTAGCATTAGCCACTTACCAGTATTGAGCCAAATTTTTACACTCTTTATCTCAAACTTCATGGACGAGTTGTTCAACCGGCAAACTACAAAGGATGGATCGTTGTAGAATTCCTGAAGGTAACTAAGCTTCCAGAAGTGGCGGTTCCCACAACGGTCTGAATGACACGGGTCCTTATGATGACGAGAACATTCTCCTTCTTTACCAAAGCAGCAGGTACATTTCACTTCGAGGTCATAGCTGGTCATGCTGAATAACAGTTGGTCTGGAGATTTAAGATCGTCCAAGCACTTTTTCAAGGTGGCCAAAAGATGACTGGCAAACTTGAAATGGTTGCCATCCAGTTTTGGAAAAATGGCAACCTTAATGAACTCGTGGAGGTCGATTAAATGAACATCATACACGTCGCCGTCCATAATAAACAGAAGCGAGGAGTAGTTGCAGTAGAAAGAAGGCGTGGCTTTGTGATGGGGAAAGCGCTTTTCACACTCGGAAATTAACCTCACTTGAAGCTTCGTAAACAGGCCTATCGGGACAAGTTTGCGAGGAAATGTCACAAACAGTGTTGGAACATTGCTATCTTCCAACTCTTTTCCAGGTTTCATAGCTGGGGCAACTGAAGGGACATAAAAAGCTGCCTTTCCCTCGTGCTGGCAAGGACAAATCAAATTGAACTTTTGCATGAGCTCCTCTAAAAGTTCTGCGTCTTCCAGCGTCTGAAGATATTCTCGAAACAAAATGCCTTTCTGCTCGAACACATCAAGAGCGTGCCTGGACAAGGCATCCAATTGACCAGGCATGGAGATCACATTCGTGAAGCGATTCATTAGCCAGCAAGGATCCAATACAACCTTGCTGGATCCACTGTGGTGTACGACCACACCTTGACGGTGAAGAAATTTGATAGCTTGATCAAACTCCCCAACGCCACAGGCCTTCGCTTCCCCTTTAGCTTCGTCAACTGGGATATACTTGCAATCTGGTGATAGCTTCTGGCTTAGAGCAACTTCAAAATTTAGCCACTTCATAGGCATTAAAATCTCGTGGTTAAGGACTGCATTTGAGTAGTCAAAAAGCTCTCTACGAAGCTTTCGCACGTCGTCTCCGTCGTCGCCTTCCAATGTGTTGTCGATCAGGAAAACCCCGAGAATGACATTCTTATAGTCATTTGCAGACACGACATTTTCCATTCTCTTCTGTACGCTAAGTATTTTGGGGTCGTTGCTTTTCACCTTATCACTGTGAGTTAAGGCTATTAATACCGGTGGGCGTTTAAAATTACGACCGTCTGCAGTAGTACAGTGACCAGTTCCATCAGGGAACTGCTGATCTTGGTATTCTCCTAAACCTTGCAGAAACTTCAACCATGATGTAAAATTATCTAAATTGGTATTAAGATGAGGATTGTTCATCTCGATCTCTTTCTTTTCAGCTCTGTCTTTAAACCTGGGAACGGCGGGTTTATCAAACTCCAGAGAAAGGTCGTGAACCAAAACATAAGGGCAATGCGGTTTCACAAAGCAGCCATGGGTACCGTAATAGATTGACTGTCCAGCAAAGTCACTTACAATTACCCGAAGAACGTTTTTCTGGTCGTGTTCAGTGGAACTCTGCGATTTGATTTTGGAGATTTCTTCTCTTGATAATAATGGCTTCAGTGGCACTACTGGCTTCAATGGCTCTGGCGCATCCACTTCTAAATTCCTCTGAACTCCTCTATCAAAGTACTCGGCAGTTTTTTTGTATAACACAGTCTTTGCCTCATTTTCACTGGTCATAAAATTCTTCACTTCTCCCTTTTTCCAGGGATCTTCTGCGTTTTGTTCTGATAGCTCGATAACATTAACGTCAATACCAGTGGTACTGGGTTGATCTTTGTCGAATGGTAATCCTAAAAGACGTCTCATCAGTGACGTCTTTCCGCCTCGGGCTTGCCCGACCAGCATAATCGGAATTCGATTACTTTTTGCTTGACCTTCTTGGAGAGCTTGCGAATATGCATCGCTAAATTGTTCCTCTTCCATGAAATCATCTGTGGCTACAAAATAAAGTTAAAACAAAATTGAGCACTACGTAAAACGAAATATAACCTCCATGAAATGGTCCTCTATAAAGCGTCCCCCCTTCTACCAAGAGCCCTGCCCTAAACGTGCTAATTCACATAAAATTGAAATACCTTTATTGGAAGTCTATTTATTGTCCATTCTTAGCAGGATAAAACCAGAAACAAAGAAAAAAAACAACAGCTAAAGTCTCATTGCACAATATGCTTAATTGTTTATTTCCTAGGCTGAAAAACTTGTATCAAATTCCCTACGCGTAGCTGCGAGTAATCTGGATTGATCAGTTGCAAGCTGCGAGTGGACCTATAATCTGATGCGAGCTGCGAGCAAATTTAATCAAAAG